GGACACTGGCGCCACCGGGCCCTCTGACCACCACCAGTAGGCAACGGGTGAAGTGTCTTGCCCAAGGACACAACGACCGAGACTGTCCAAGCCAGGGCTCGAACCGGCAACCTTCCGATTACAAGGCGAACTCCCAACTCTTGAGCCACGATCGCCTAATAATGCAGATTCTCATGACTATTGATCAGCAACCACTGACCAAAACCCACTGATCAATGGCCATGAGTACCTTGAGTACCATTCACAGAGAGTTGGGGAATGGCTGCAATCGCAGCATTGTAAGATGGCGAAAGATGTACCCTTAGGCCCCCTCCTCGATTCAGAGATGGTCTTAGATGGTCAGAGAGGTATAAAATAATGGCGTACTGATCATGATAAGAAGTCCATTTGTAGACATACAGATATATGGTGATTCTTGCTTGTGTTATTTCTAAAAACACTAAACAAAAACCCAGCCTGTGATAAACGTAGAAGTCCTTAGTATATTTGATGATGCCAAAACTTTGTATAATACAATAATACTATACAGTGATCCAGCTACACTTACAGACAAGCTATAAATAATGTAATATGTGAGTCTATTTATTTCTATTTATAGCAGTTATTATTCATCTTAACTTGCATATACAAGTAGTTATCTTCACTGTGAGTCTCATTACTGCTAAAATTGATTTGAATTGATTTTCTTCAAAGTCGGACAGACATTGACTCAAAAAAAATTTTCCCCCGCCCCCTTTTTTTTGCAGCTATCTACTCAACTCCATCATCGAAGCCAGACTATGAAATACCATACCATAGAACAGCAGTCCCCAACCCCCGGGCCTCGGACCGGAACCGGTCCGTGAGTCGTTTGGTACCAGGCCACGAGAGTTGAGGCTCAGGTGTGAAATGTATGGTTTTCAGGGTTTTCAGCGTTATTTTGTTATCGTTTTTATCGTTAACTCTGTTTTCCTGGGTCTTTTCACGTATGTTATGAATAAATCTTCTTTTTTTCGGTACCGGTACTAGTTTTATTTTGTTGTATGTAAAGGCCGGTCCGTGAAAATATTGTCGGGCATAAACCGGTCCGTGGCACAAAAAAGGTTGGGGGCGGCTGCCATAGAACAGCACACGTCTGTATTTGGATGTATGCACATGCTCAGTTCTGTTTAAGTTAAATGTTTGTATAACTGTAACCCACTTTATCTCATTGGGTAATATTGTAGTTTTACAGAAGCTTGACTAAATACTTTGAAGCGGCTTCCTGTACAATGTTTGTGTCTGTAGCAGTCTAAAAAGATCAAGAAAAAAAACATGCTTCAGTAACACTTCAAAAATTAATTGTGCCAGGGTTAACAGATGAGACGTTTTGATCTTCTATGTATATCATAACTTATACTTTGCTTGCATCTGTCTCTCCAAAGAATCTCACTCCTTCCTCTTCAGTCTCTATCCCTTCTCCCCCTCTCCAGCTGCTGCCTCAGTGGGATGGGTGTAGTTTAGTGCCGCGTTCTTCCCGGATTGTCTTTCAGTCTCTCGCGGCTCAAATCCCGCTGAGGCCACTAATGGCTTAAGCCTCAAAAAATCTGAAATGCTTGAATCCTGGATCACCCTACCCCTGGGATAGCTGGAAATCTGAAATCAAGGACAACTGGAAAATATACTTTATAGAAAGCTGCAACGATTTACTGGCTATTTTTTCTGGGGGATTTTTTTGGGTTTTTTTTTAAGTATTTATCATGTAGCAGATTGGGCTGGTGATGTTCTCCGGTAACATAAAATACTTGTAAATGTGGATCTGCTTCTTCAGGATTTCATCACAAAAGAAATACGAGCACTGGATTTATTAAGAAAGCATTACATTTTTATTTGTAAACCTGGAATTCACAAAAATTCCCCTTTTTCTCTCTTAATGTTGGGATTGTTGGATGGATCAAGTCTTAAGGACTCAAAACTTTCTATCTTAAATAAAAATTGTGCAGGTGTGTATGAATGTGGTTAAACACAGGATTAAGTAAGGAAGTGTGAGCTGCTTGTGCCTCTGTTTGTGTGCATAAATGTGTATGGATGTTTATAGCCATGTTAGAGGAAAAGAAGGACCAAGGTTCTCCAAAACAGAACAAACCATCAAAGATCAACAGCGGCAACACCTGTCACTCGACATTGGGTAAAACCAAGTATATCTCAAACAGCGGCAACACCTTCAAACCTGCACACGGGTGAGAGAGGAAAATCTTTGTGTTTCATTTCTTTTTCTGTCTGCAAGTGACAAATGCAATGCATGTGTGCATTTTGTATTAATAATGCCTTTACCTTTCATATGTGTGGAGAAAATGTGAATATGCAACAAAAAAAAGTTTTAAAAAGTCATACAATCACAACCTGGATAAATGTTAAAAAACATTTTGCTAAAAAAAAAGAAATGTTATTTCTTTTGTTAGAAATAACATTTCTAACCAAATATAATATAAAATCAAGATTAAAAAAAAACTACCTTTGTCTTTTTAAAACATTTTTTATTGTGTGACTTTTTTCAGGGGGTACAAATACAAAGAATAACAGTACTAATGATGAATGTTGAGAAACAGTCAACCTTAAAATCCTGCTAAATGTTGGTGAAGACTTTTATCGCGACTATATTCTTGTATGTCACGTGTGCATATGGAACAATTAGCAAGTGGGAAATAGTCCTTTGGTATTAACCCTGGCCCAAACAGCTCTTACAGCTAAAGGAAGACAACAACTGCACGTGACAGGGCTATGCATGTATATGTGGGTGTCCCATCTGTCTAGATCCAAGTATTTAAAAGTTTTATTCATGTGTGTACATGCATGGTACCACCAAACATATGTTCTTTAGTTGATGACAACAATGAATTCCCTCGATTTCGATTCCCATTTCAATCAAATCCAGGTAGGAGGAGATGAATGTAAACATCTAATACCCAGCTGATATCACTGCAAAGTAAAGAGGGCAAAGAGAATAAAGCTCTGTAGTTATTCAGTAAAGTGGCCTAACAAAATGTTGAGGCTGTATATGCTAGTCCTACTTGCTGCTACAGGCATGTCTGAGAGATGTTTATGTGAGTCTTAAGATTAACTGCAGTGGAAGATTCCAGATTCGTTTGCTATATTAGAACAAGACGTTGACTTTGCTCCAAAATCTGGCTCAGAATAGCCAACTTGGTGAAGATGTTCCTTTGCTTGGTGTGAAGAAACTGTGGGCAACTCAAGATGTTTGGATAGAAGTTGTTAATTGTAACCACCTATGGTATCTTCATTGTTACCATAGCAGCTGTTTGACAGTTTGACTTTTAACTGGATCCATTAATGGTCAGATCACAATGTCTTTACCTTTCATTTGTATCGCCATCTCTTTTCTCAGTGTTTCATTCATTATTCACCCATTCACTCATTCACTGCAGTTTGCAGCCTTTTATTTCCATGAATGAAACCCACTCATTTGGTCATTCATCTGTTAATTCATGTATTCACTCATTCACCCATAATCCATAAGTTTTACATTTATGTAAGATCTATAAAACATTCAAGCTTGAAGTACTGTACTGTTTTATCTAGACTTTTAAAGAATAGAGTCATCCATCCATCCATCCATCTTCTTCCATTTATATGAGTCCTAGGCAGTCTAAACAGAGCTTCAGTCTGTCTCCCAGATTGCCGCCTTCATCTCTTTCAAGGTGACATCGCCAGCCAGCCCAGATACATAATCTCTTATTTATCTGAGAGAGCCTAGGTTCTCACCTATGAGGCACCGGAAGGCATCCAAGTCAGATACCCACTGAGAAGTATTCTCTAATTCCTGACTTAAAACTATGCCATCAAAACAATTGTAATTGATTTTAAGGGACCGCTCAGAAGACTGCAGGTGCTCCAATTAATAATAAAAACACATATTAAAGTGTTTTCTGATCTGACACCACTATTTCTTAGGCCTAGGAAATCTTGCACAAACCAGCAACCTATCAGTAGCTGTGACTAAAATATGAAGCTTAATACGAAGCACAAATCTTTACTTTTAAGTATCAGATTTAAGCATCAACTAATGGTGTTTTTTTTAATGAAGTTCAACACAACCACATAAAGCACAATTCTGGAGACAAGTTAAGAAGGTCTATGCTGATTTCATCCAAATGTATGACAGGATAAAATAAGAAAGGGATGGCACTTTAGATCCAAAGAGACCCCGTCGAGAGAGTGCCTTGGATAAAGATATGTGAATCTGGGGAGTGCCAAAAATTAGGAAAAGTGGTGACTGTGGTCATCTTTTACTTTTACATGGCTTGATGTTGGTTAGGCTAACTGTGGTGGGACAGATTTGGACAGATCAATGATGATTAAATTGCAATTATTATATTTTTTAGCCACCAGGTGGTAGGCATCAATGACACAAATTTTAACTTCTTTACAGGTTGTATTGACTTGATTTCAGTATTTATTGTGCTATAAATCTGTTTTTAACTGTACTAAAACATCTCAAATTGCTAAAGGCTGCACCATCTGCTTCTGCTGTTTTCTGTCAGCTGTTGCTCAGGTCGTGTACAGTGGGTTTCTCAGAGCTTTTCTGGCCATGTGTGCCCAAATTAAAGCTGTCAGTATGCTATAAAACTAAAACCAATTATCTATAGGAGGCTAAAGAGCCAGAGCTGAGCTACACTCCTTACCTTTACCTTATCTTACCTTTTCCATCACATATTAAGCCACTGATATAAAAACATTGACTAATTTCCTATGTTTAGATTATGTGATTATGCAAGATACTGAAATCTAAGCGCTCCTTCAGTTCAAAGACACACTGACCTTATAGAAACATTGTCTGAGTCACATACGCATTTAGCCTACATACTCACCATATGACCAAACACCTCGTAAATGTTTGAGAGGGTTTTGGTTTGTGAAATTTGATGCTGGTTATCATCCAAACCAGTGGATTTAAAAGAGCAGCTGTTCCCTTTTCTCCACTTTGTCGTTTTTGCTTTTTTAAATGTATTTATTTATTTATTTTTACCATCATTTCTTCTTTACTTTTCCTCTTTAATGTGCAAGCATTCTTCCTGGAGTTCCCACCATTCATTTTCATTATCTTTTGTGGCTTTGCCCTTCCATGCCCGTTGGCCGGGACGCTTTAAAGTAGTTTTCCAGACAATCTGGATCCAGTCTGTCTGATTTTACTGTGTTCCTCAAACCTAAGTCCAAGTCTGTGTCATGTCATTTAACCCCTTAGCAGTCCTACAAATTTACAATTAGTCCCCTAAACCATCCAATGTACCGTGGGCGGTACGTCCGACTGCTAACAGGTTAACATTAAAAATTATTAGTCAGTGCAACCCCCAATACATTATGTATATGCTACGTCATGAAATCTTGAAACCTCAAGTCTAAGAAAATATATTTTTTTTAAGTTGTATGGAAATATCTGTGCCTAATTGTTGTGGCTTAAAACCTGCAGTTGCTTTATTTTTGGCCACTTGAGGGTGATAGAAAACAATTTCCGCTATTGAGGTTTGGTGTGCGTTGCTTGAAAGTTGTCCATCCTGTGTATTCCTTGACTCTTTTGGAGGTTATTAGCTCGTTCTAGGTGAAACTCAGAGATGGTGTAGCACCAAAATACTCCCAATGATTGTTTTGGTTGCTAGCAGATTACCATAGTTGCCATTTTTTCATGATTGTGTGCAAATACTCACTAACCAGGGACGTGCAGAGGGGGGGG